AAGTGTGATTTCATCGTCTTCATAATCTTTTAGAACAAGAAATGGAGGACTGGTTTGACGTTTAAAATTATTCCGTATTAATCGTCGTCGTTGACCATTGGGCATAGTGAAAACCTGCTGAACGAGATGTTTGCACAATAAGAAGCGACTTCCAAGAAAAGCAGGACAACTGCAGACCCATTGATTAATATCTGTGAAATATAAACTTTTCAGATCAGTCGTCTTTGCATCTATATTTCGTTTTCTTTTACCCTTAATAGATCCATCAGTATTAACATTTGCTTTTGTGTCTCCTTTTGTACCAGCGGCATTCCATGCTTTCTTAAAGTCATCCCACCACCACGGTTCCGCAATGCCAGTCACAATCTGCAAAAGTCGCTCTTTTTGAGCTGGTACTATCTCAGTAAAAATTGTCCACAGCAATAAATCAAGTCTAGGGCGATTAAATCGATGTAAATAACATCTCTTGATAACACCCCAATGGGCTTCAATCTTCATTGTTGTTTTGCCGAAAGGTATAGTTGGCCTAACCGACCTAGCCCATAAGTTCCATCGATCTGGCGAGTACCAGTTACTCCAGAGGTATGCCCACAATAACCTTAACGAGTTTTCAATACAAAACTGATACATCTCTTTTACGGCATTTCTTCTGATATCTGTCGATGTTAAGGTAGTTCTCTGAGCATCGACAGGTATCAGAGGATGCATGTCAAAATGTTTTTGCATGAGAACCAGAACCATTGATTGACATGCTGATGGACAGACAATATATTGTCTTGGATCACGATCATTATCCGTTGGGTAAAATGCTGGGTCTATGAAGTCGAACTCGCTTGTTGCTTGCATAACATTGTAAGTTATACGTAGCTGTGCTTCATTCTGTGTACTATTTGATGGCTTGGCTTTTTCTCTGAGCTTAAGCTTCAATGCCCGATTTATGTGCCAAGAGCATAGTTGGACTATTGATGGTCCCCACACTGTAATTGCAGCGTTAATTTCTGCAAAATCCTTATCTGTGAACACGAAATCCGGATTTACATCATGCTTTTTTATATTTTCTAGAAAGTACTCTAGAATTTTACGGCGTTTTCCTGTGCTAGTACTCGTATCCGTTACTTTTGTTGTATCAAGAATTAAATATGCTATTGGGAATCCGGTGCCCTGAACATCAGCTATAATGCCATAGAGTTCATAGCGCCCTCTTGCTGTCTTGTAAGTTGCATCAAGATAGATCTCATTGATGCTGATGTTACGATTTTTAATTGCTTCCAACAAAGGCGTGATAAATCCAATGGCAGTAGTATCTGAATCTCTTATATCTAAGCACCATTGGAAGCCATGGATTTTGTGTTCACTTAGCAATTTACATGCAGATTCGATATGATTATCGTAACGCTGGAACAATTTTTGACCCGCCAAGGATTTCCAATAGTAAATGCGCTTGGGTGAATACTTAGAGATATCAAAACCTCGGCGCCGTAGATGATTTTTTAATTCTGTTGCAGTAAGATGTGAATGTGTTTGGATCTCTTCTTGTAATTCATCAGGCATTTCAGCACAAAGGTCTGGGCGCTGATGAAGGGAACCATGATATATATCTACTTCTACGGCATTAAGAACTAGATCTATTTGGATAATGATTCTTCCCTTACAATCGTAACGTATTCGCCGTTTTCTATTAGAATCTTTATAATCTTCACTTTGTGCTTCTTTTGACTGACAACAAAAGTAATAAAACCGTCCAAGAGTATCTCCAAATTTTCTTGACATGTCCGCATGATGAAAGCTACAATAATAAGTATCTGGTTAGTATCATTATAATAAAAATATATTTTTAATAAAATAGGTTTATTTTAATACTTACTTCCACGAATAATCATCCCCGCCTTCAATTTCAGCAATTATTAGGTTAGCTATTTCTTTTGCTGTTTTATCTTGAATTATAGTACTGTTCAGATTTACTACTAAATGACTCTGATAAGCAATATCAGCTACCCCGTCGATTTGAGCGCCAATTGTTAACTCTTGGATTTCATGTTCGATTAAGTCCCCCAAATCGAGAAAGTCGACTTCAATAGAATTTCTATATTCTGACACAGGGTTTTCATTTTCATCAATAACTATAGCTTGTGCAATACTTTCTTCAGGAAGGACTTCAAAGTTGTCTTGGTTATTTAATTCATCATCTGATGAATGTATTATTCTATTAGATAATGCATCATTTTTATTTTTTTGATCGCGTTTCTCCTTGCTTTTTCTGCATGTTTTATGGCGTTTATTATTCCAAACAAATTGGTCTTCAGGGTGGTTGCAATGACATTTAGTGCAGTACTCCATTTGTTAATATTTTACTAAACTAATATAATTTCAAGTCTTTATAGTTGTGGTCAGGAACTAAATTATGAAAGCTATATGGATGAGAGAGGATAGAACGATTCAATTAATATTTTGAGATACCGGCTCAAAATATCTATACAATGGTTAGCTTTACGAAGATATAGGATAGAACGATTAATGAATACGTCGAGATACCAGCTCAAAATGTTTATACGAAAGTTAGCTTTACAAAGGATAAAAATGACTTTATTTATAAAATTCGATTACAGGTAAATTACAAATTTTTAGCTATAATCTGAAACTTTTTCTTTACAATTTTTAAAAATTTTTATTATTCTTTTCTAATCAGAAATTATCTAACACTACAATACTCCTTTAAATTAGATCAAACGCGATATTCTTTGCGACAATTATGATTTTGCCAAATACATGCAAAACGAATATTCAAATTTTCAACGCGTAGAGCTCTGAACAATTGCATGATAAGTTTCATATTTTTTGATGTTTATTATCTCTAACACTGCACTGCTCCTTTTTCCTCTTTAACCAGATAAAACGCAATATTAGTTGCGAAAATTCACTTTTGACATTTCGTGTTCTTTGTGAATTTTTTGTTTATATATTCCTTCTTTGGCTAGAATATTACAACAACGCTCCCTGTATTTGTGGCCGATGATGGATCTGTACAACTATTACTAATAACTATGGTAAAGTAACGAAATATTAGTTATTAATTGCACGGCAAACCGAATAGAATATGCATATTTGTTGAAAACAGACCTAAAATGGTGCGTATGTTTGCATGATACCAACTTGATATGCACACTAATCGGTTGATAATTTTATTACATAGTTTCAAAGTTCATCGCTCGGATCCATCATATAATGTCTCAGTTGCTTGCATATTTCTGTATTAAAGTTATCAAATCCGTGTTACACTAAATTAGCAATTTATTATTAATAGTTTTTTATCATGGTGTGACGGCATATCTGAAAATTTGTTTTTTCAAAAAATCGCTAAAGTTGTCATTTCATTGTCACATATCGGTTTGTATATTTGATATTATTAGCGATTAATAACAAACTTTTGAATACAAAAAAACTAATCTAGATATGGATTTTTTGTACAACAGGACGGGATTCTTAACGACTCAGGTTGTCTTGAATTATTCACGCCATATATGATTATCAACACAAATAAATGCTCGGATTAGAAACTTATACGTATAATAGCAATAATTTATTGATTTATTTCAAATTTACAACTTCTAATTAATATATTTCTTTAATATTTAGGAAATACCATTCGCTCTTTCTAAATGCATTTAAGAAATAAAAAGAAAAAATGTATTTACGAAGATTATTCGCATATTTGAGCCGGAACTTGATTGTGCATTTAGAGAAGTCATGCAGTTAAAGAGGACGCATTTAGAAAGGTTTTACTATAGCTGAAAATCGTATCCTAGAAAGATGTTATATTGGCGAAAAATAATCACTGGTAAAATTTAAACAATTCGCCATGTTGAATGGCACGATTCAAATACCACTCAAACTGCCATTCGAACTACCATTCTACATGGAGAATTTTTTAAATTTTACTAGTGAATGTTCACGTGCATGTGTTCGATAATTTGACATAGATATATCGTATTCAAAAATTCTCAAATAGTAAACCTGAAGCGATGTCATGTAATAGTTGGTCTTGATATTGCATCTCATTCGATAACAATAACCAAGTTGAGAAATTCTTTTAGCGTTTTAAATCCCGGCAAATTTTGGTAATAAATAAAGTCCTTTATAATTATCTTTTTCAATCCACATTGATTCAAATAAAAATGTTCAACTTGCCGCAATAGCATATTATGTGCTTGCAGAATATATCATTTTTGTACAATTAACTCTATATATATATAGAGATTTTATAATAAAGTTCGCTATATGGGACTTATGTTTACATAACGAATTGATACTAAGTTTAAACTAAAAAA